GTCTCTCTCTCTCTCTCTCTCTCTCTCTCTCTCTCTCACACACACACACACACACACACACACACACCTTCTTTGTTTTGATGATTAGGAACTCCGTTGATTGGGCCGTAAACTTGGTACCTTTTATCTCCTTATTGTGTTTTCTTCATGGGTTTTGGAGATTTATACTGGTATGTGGATCCATTTTTTTTCTTGGTTCTTCTACGGCTGCTTGTTTCTAACTGAGTTAAGCATCGAGGTGTGGTGTTAGTGTTGTGACTTAGGAAGGGAAAATGTGGGGATTTGTCTTTTTCCTTCAAGAAAATGAGAATCGGTTCTGAGGAACTGATTCGAAATACATTAGCTAGATGAGAACCGAAAGTATGTGGATCGAATTTTTAGGGGAAGTCTTTGATATGAGTTTGACAATTACTCTAGTCTTGAGTATATAAAAGATCAATGCATGTGTTTGTTTAAGAAATGGAGAGGAAATTATTTGGATTTTACCTTTTCTCTTCTCTACATCGATTATGCGAAGCATGATGAGATCATGTATTAGTATGATACTTTGAATTTGAGTCTTTTTTGTTAAAAGATCAGGACATAGGGTTTTATGCTTGTTTGATATTTTTGTGGCAGCTATGGGGTGCCCACATTTCATTGCTGCTAACATTCTACGGTCAAATGTGTTATGGCCTAATGGCCACGATCAATTGTGGTTAGAGCTTCATCAATTATTTATTACGTTCAATTTGGTTTATAACAAAAAAGGTCTTTGAGTTAAAATTGTTGGATTAAGCTCTGAATTGTAGGTATTTGTTGTTTGAAATTGAATTGACCTAGCCTTATTTTAGGTATTTCTTGCTGTGTCAGAACATGCTTCTAAAAGTTGGAGTTTGCATATTGTTGGTTGCATTTAATATAGGAAGATGGGCACAACTTTCTGTTAGAGCCCATACACCCCTGCAGCCAAAAGGGGAGGAACTAGTTCTATATATAAGAATGTAAGGTTTCATTGTTAAAACTAGATGCCGAAAAGGTGGTTGTCCCAATTGTATTTACTGTCTTGAGCTGCTATTCATGGTGAAACAAAAACAAAATAGTGTTTGTTTTTCACATGGGATAAGGAGCAGTGTTCTCTAGCAATGCTAACTTTGTTATAAATTATGTGATTTTTAGATTAAACAAGCATGTTCGAACTTGCTCCTTTAGCTGCCATGAGTACATTTAAGAGGCAGATTGTTTATTAACTGAAGAAAGCAAAGAGTAACAAGGATATATTCCGATTATCATAATGTTCTTAGATGTATAGCTGATTCATGTATATCTTCTACAACAAAAGTTGAAGGCTTTTCATTGTTACAAAGTTGAACTTTGAAATGCATAGGTTGATGCTTCTCGCTACATTCATTCATTGGTTGAGGTAACTGATGACTAATATTGTCTTCTCGAATTATTTGACACAGGTGCAGGCCTAGGGGCCGGGTTTCCTGGCTTACAGTTTGGCATTGGAGCTGGTGCCGGGTGTGGAATAGGTTTAGGTTTTGGTTATGGCATGGGAAAAGGAGTTTCATTTGATGAGAATGGAAAACACACAAATGTGGGCAAGCTATTCGAAGGAAATCCCCCGTCTCGGTAAGGCCTACTCTTACATGAAATATGTTCTTTCCATGTAGGGTTGTTTGTTGGCCGTTGATTAGGACATATTTCTCTCCTTTATGTAATATTGTTGTTCAAGCATAATGGTCTATTCCGATTTGCTTCTAAGATTTTCCTGACAGTTTATAATCATTACGAGAAAGCTTAATATAGAATGAAGATATTGCATTTTATTCAACTGATGTATCATACATAAAAAGTTTCTACTGCTAGCAGTAACAATCTTAAGGATGATGTTGCTCCCTGATGCAATTAACAGTCACCTATTCTCCTTGTTAATCTTTGATTTTGCTTTTCTTTATTTTTCTTGGTGATTTGGGTCAAAAAATCTTCTTGAATCTGATCTTAAGGAAACCACATCAGAGGGCATGAAGACATCTCAAGTTTAAATATCAAAGGGTCTAGATGTTGGCTAGTTTCACTAAGCATGTAATCTAAACTAAAGGCAGCCTTATGCATGGGGTTCCTGCCAATGCAAAATGTGGGAAGGATCAACGTAGCTTTATCCCCAGTAAATTGAGAATTTTTTATTATTCATCATTTTTTTTCAATAGGATGACATCTAAAATATCTAGTTCTACTTGCATTTAGTCAGCATTTGTGTTGTTTAGTTTTATTTATGAGCCTTCTTCATAATTTTCAATCTGATTTTTTAACTGCATGGCATTGCTATATATAGTCATCAATAGTATGACATATGCTTTTGATCATCACCATCAAACTGTTGTAATATATACTTTTGCCCTTGTTCCTTTGGTTTTCAGTGGTCAAATTGGTGGTTTGATTGATGAGGCTGTAGTGACTGCCAAAAATCTAGTTAAGGCTACTTCGCGGGAGATTGAAAAATGGAGGTGAAGAGAATCTAAAGAAACCTGCTACTGCTATTTCGGAAGATCATTTGCTTGCTGGGGCGTAGACTTATCCATGCATGACTCTAGCTGTTTCTTTTTTTCGGGTTTTTGGTGTGTTTCAGTTATAGCTTTTAAACTTCATATTTCTGTTGGTTAGAATGTACCCTGTACAACTTCAGGCTTGCAGATGATATTCTTTTGGTGAAGGGTCAGTATTTTAGATTGTTACAAGTATTTACTCACTTTTTTATCTAGTGATAGTCTACAAAGGCATATCAGATAGTGTGGTTGATAATCATTTTCTTTGTTGATTTGGTTCTTACTTTCAGCTGGTGCCATTTTGTATTGTGTCAATTGACTCGAATCTCATCCATTACCGATGTCAACCAAATTGCAGGTTGTCGGGCTGATATTTCTCATTTCTTCAATTCATTAGTAGTTGGTATGCATTTTTACTATCTTGTGGGCAGTCATTATGAAAGACCTTTCAGTTTCTTTTATCTGATGTGGTTAGCTTCTTTCTAGCATATAGGCAAAGAATTGGGACATGCTGACCAACAGTTCTACCAAGATTTCATCATCCTCATCTGTGATTCAAACATTTTTTTACTGACATAGATTAGTTATAGAGCAGAATTCAAATCTTGCAACCAGCCTGACATTCATCAACTGGTTAATTCCTTTTTCATTTTGAAGAGGTCTCTGGTTTGAATCGTTGTGTTGGTGGTGCCAAGTCTTTTACCAAATGTTATTCTCTAAGAGGGGGATGGCTCTTTATGTTATCCTGAAGTTAGAAAACCAAAGAAAGCCTAGAAGGCTCCTATGTCAAGCCAATCCTGCAATATCATATCTCAAAAACTGGTGACAAGTGCTTAGTAAATGACAAATTACTGAACAGAGGATTGCTAGAAGATTAAATGATGGGGTGGGGTAATTCTTAAATCCTATTTAGATGAAAGGTTTATTCAGAGGCTCTTCCACATTTCAAGTTTATAATGTTGGTTTCAAGAACATTTGTTGGACATCAGCTCAGCTTCGTCTTCAATCTAATGATGCTTTCTTTATTTTTCTTGGTGCTGCTATAGTCTCCTTTAATGCATTATTATTTTCCAGCCAACTTTGTGCAACCATTTGGAAGTTGTAGTGTGCATGGTACTCATGTTAGTCCAACAAAACAAGGGAGAATTGGCAATTTCTTTTCCTCTGGTGCGTGAGGTTGTGCTCTTTTACAGTCATTCCATAATATATGGATCCACAAGGTTGTAGTGTAGTCCTAAGCTTTGTGTTGAATTCAGCATTGGTACCATTTTTACTGGTTTTGCTGATGAGTTGACTGTCTCTAATGCTTCTGCCAGAGTATTTATTATACATGCTAAAGATCTGACAACTAGCAATATTGCCTTCCTGTCTCACAGGGACCAAATCCACTTTATTTAGTGACTCTTAAAATTGCATTTATCAAATAGGTGACTAATTTTTTCTCTTAATTATTTCTCATTTTTTCCTTGCACCAATGCAAAGCATGACTTGGTTTGATAAAAAATTGGCAGGTGGGTCTTCAAGGCAACTGGTCTGGACCAGCACATACAACACTCAGGACAAGTGTTTGAATCATGAAATTAGCATTCATTCTTTGAAAAAAAATGAAAACCATCATCCAAAATCATTAGAAGTTATTATTGTTATCAGTATCATCATTTGAAAAGAATGTGAAATAAGCTCTCATTCTGCTTCTATTTTGGATGTGTAATTAGACACAGCAAAAGTTAAATCCTGTGCAAACAGATAATTAGTCACACTTGAGAAGATAAATACTGTGCAAATATTAACATAAAATCCCCAAAAGAAACTAGATAACTTATTGTTGTCTTTGCACAGTGAGTTCATGAACATCACATGCTTTACATGACTAAATAAGTCTATTGTCATTTCATCATTAACAGCTTAAAAATGTCTTGGTGATTGTAAAGAGTATAAAGAATTAAGTACTCTTCTTGGTTCTTTATCAAAATTAAAATTATCTGTTGAAGAACCCAAGCTTTGTGCTTTAAATAATATTGTTATCACTACAATTTCTAGAGATTATTTTTTTAGTATCTTTAATCAGCTTTTGTATTTTATGTGCCTTCTCCATTAATTTCTTTTCTTGCTTGCAGAAGTTGTTTGATGCAGATATTAATTAAACTCTGCTCACTGGAAATTGTTTGAAAGGGTATTTTCACTGCTTTCTTTAATCTCATATGGCAAATCTACACATTCCTTCACAAATGGTGAACATATGCTAACATTTGTGCCTGCGCTTTCTACTGCACTTGAGTCTGTTCAGATCTGATTAATAGTTATTTTTAATTACTGATTGATCATTCAATTTCATCCCACAAATAATAATAATAATATTTGTTTTGAATAATTTTAGAATCTTCGTTGATTATTCTTTACTTTCAACTTTTTTCTTTGCTGCTGATTCATGCAAAACATTTGTGTATTTTTGGACTCCTAAATTTTTGCATGTGTTCAACTAAGTTACTCTTATGTGTAATCCCGACGGCAGGCATTTTTGTTCACCTGAAGACCTAGGAAGATAGATCGTCATGCATGCGTGCATGAGAATTGCATATCAAGTAATGAAGAAAACCTAGCTATTCTTCTCTGTTGACCATGGAATGCTTGACTTTCCCAAACTATATAATTCTTTCACTTCAAACGAAAGGCAAATTACTAGGAGACTTGCAGAGCAAGTGATGGCAATGCATCATGGCTTCCTGCCCATTTCTAATGCTAGTTCATGCTATTCTTTATGTGATTGGGTGATAGCCATATTGCACCAAAACACTTGCAGAGCTCACCACTGATTGACACCTTGTTTCACATAGTTGAGGCTTGTGCTCTTTTATAACACCAGTAAGTAGTGTCATGATCAAGGACAGAGCTGTTTGGTTTTTGCCCCCCACCAAAAAAAGTTCTTTTATTATCTTGCTCTATTTTTTAAGCAGCTTCTCCTGTAACAACATTTCATTTCTTTATGTGAAGCTGCAGATTTGTAGATCAAAATCTAGTGAATTGTCATGTTCAGCTTCATGGAATGACTTGCCAAGTGGGAAATGAGAGAGACCGACTCTGGTATGGCTTAAAACAGTGGTGTGAAAGATGCATGAGAAGTTCCTGCTGTTTAGTATAACATTATGCACAAATCTATTGGCCCAAACAAGCTTACTGAACTGCTGAGGAACTCAATTAAATTGCTTGGCAGGTAAGTTTCTAGTGCTCTATTTGATCTCAGATTCATCCCTGGAGGTCTGCTTGGTCTTAGGATCACCAGACTAGAAGAAGCGAGTGCTAGAACAACTGACATGTTTGCTGTAAACCTAAATCTCCTAGTGCAGATTTACTCAAGACACTAAACATCTTGTGATGAGATATGCAGGGATCAGCAGCTGCAGCATATCCAAGCTTGGACGTCACAGAAACGTTGGAAGAGTGCAGCTCAATCAAACATGCTGTGCACCATCAATTTCCAGGAAGTCTATCTCACATGCTCTGCCCTAATCCATGGAGGTTCCTTCTCAAACCATGCAATCACAAGTCTAGTTTATTTCCTCATAATTCTATGATGCAGAGGCACAATTCTGTGGTCACCACGACTTCAGAAACTAATAACCCAGCTCCTCGAACCATCCATCATCCTTGAGCACCACCGTCGAGCAGCAAACCCTAATAAATACACCATCTTGATTTGATCACTCCACTTGCCACTTGAGTTCCTAAGGTTGGAATAAGCAGAACATATACTGTGATCATCCGGTGCTAATTGTATGGGATGTGTTCATTGACCATGAGATGTTTTCTTGTGCATGTAGGTGGGAGGAAGAGTAAATGCCTTGTTCGACTCCCAAGCCAATCACATGCACGTACGCAGCTAAAGCTCTTCCGGTGGGATCTGATGAGGAAGATGGCACCTCTTAATCAACCTTGCTTCGGGATCAATGAAGAGAGCTCAAAACTAGGTTTTTATTCTTCTCCTCGGGATCGTTAACCCATTTAGAATATGCAGCAGCAGCCAGTAAAGAAACATTTGTTGCATCAAAGCCTCATGCCCTTGACTTGTTTTCTACGGTATCAGCTTTATCCAAGTCCACCGGCGTAGCTGCCGGCGTCAACCTTTTCTTTTGGCAGCCACGAGGTATTTAAGCCCACCTGCACCCCCCCTACGTCGAAACCTTTGTCCAAGTGCTTCTTCCTAAGCCAAGGTGATGGCATCGGCTGCGTCGTCGTCGTCCAGCACCGGAGTCCCGCCGGGGTTCCGGTTCCACCCCACGGACGAGGAGCTCCTGCTCTACTACCTCAAGAAGAAAGTCTCCTTCGAGAAGTTTGAGCTGGAGGTGATCAGAGAGGTTGACTTGAACAACGTTGAGCCATGGGACTTGCAAGGTGAAGTGTCTAAGTCTGTGTTGTGCTTTGCCATTGTCCTCTCAGCATTTGTGCGCTTGCTCGAACAGTATCTATCATGCATGTGGAGCTAAAGCTCTCAGCTTTCCTTGATGCAGAGCGCTGCAGGATCGGGTCTGCGCCTCAAGATGAGTGGTACTTCTTCAGCCACAAGGATCGCAAGTACCCCACCGGGTCGCGGACCAACCGCGCCACCGGCGCCGGATTCTGGAAGGCTACCGGGCGCGACAAGTGCATCCGGAACAGCTACGAGAGGATCGGCATGAGGAAGACGCTGGTGTTCTACCGCGGCCGCGCGCCCCACGGCCAGAAGACCGACTGGATCATGCACGAGTACCGGCTCGACGACTCCGACGACGCCCGGGGCGAAGCCGGCGGTGGCAGTGTAGGCTTTCCATCTCTGCGGTTCATGCTTGCCTGCTCTTCTCGCTCTGATCTCCCTCTTCTTGTGTTGCAGGATGATGGATGGGTGGTGTGCAGGGTCTTCAAGAAGAAGTGCTTCTTCAAGGGCAGCGGCGAAGGGAGCACGAGCCAAGCCATGGAGAACCACATGAGCGTCGCCGCCAGCCACGACCAGTCCCCGTCGCTGAGCTCTAACTACATCCACCCAAATCTCGGCCACCACCACCGCCACCTCCACCACCACAACGGCCTGTACTACTCCCAGATGCCCACCGGCCCCTACTCCCATGGCCAAGTGCAGGACCTGATGACCAACCACAGGCCGTCGGGATACGACTTCGGGGTGCTCCCCGGAGACTCCGCCCCCGTCGTCAAGCCCTACGACGGAGCATTAGCAGCTGCAGCCGCCTGCGTAGGGATGCAAAGCGAGAGGGATCCGGGCCCGAACGAGTGGGCGGTGCTTGACGGCATAACGGCGCAGCAGCAGCAGATGAATCAGATGGCGAGCCAACGCGGGGGAGAGATGGATTTGTGGGGATATGGGAAGTAAAGGTCACATTGGGCTGGCCATGTGCATGGAATTGTTGTGGCTCAAACTCCATCGTTCAATGCAATAAGGACCAAATTGGTGGTATTCATGAGCGAACTCAGAAGAGTCTCAGCTCCTCTGCCCACAGAATTGATTGTGTCTGTTCCTTTGAGTGTTTACATGTTTTAATTGTGTAAGGGTCGATCTCTACATCCTGTCAATGTACACATGTATAGAGTAGACAATGTTCTAATAATATATCATAATGAATATGCTGAATGCCATTTAGAACATTTGGCATCCAACATGTTATGCTGTCAATGTACGCGTGGATGGAGCAGAAACATTAAGCTTAAGATGCCCACCATCTGCAGCCAACATGAAGAAGAAGAAGAAGACAGGTAGGTCGTGACAAATACCTGCCTCGACACCATCTCACTCACTGGAAGCACATAGCACCTAAGAAGCTTCACTCTGACTTTGGTGTGTGATTCTCAAATTATAAATTAATTAAAGATTAAATTTGTAAAAATATAAAATTATCATTTCATATTTGCCAATATCATGATCCTCTATCGTATTCTCGTAGGATTAAATTTTTATTAAGGATGTCAATCTTAAAACGATATAATTGAAATACTTTATTAGAGAGTGAAACATTAGGTATATTATTAGAGTGAATTAGGAGGTGATGTCAAGTTCATGTAACATATTGGTGATCAAGTTGAGTTCTATAGTGGTGGTAGCGATGACTCAGTATTCGATTTTAGTAATGGATTTTATGACTATGTTATGTTTCTTGATATTCTAATTGATCAGGTTTGCTCTAAAAAAGATAATGTAGACTGATGTAGATGTTCTATCATTAGTATTGCTTGCTCAATCAGTATCAACAAAAACATGAAGATGAAGTGATGAATGCTTATGAAAAAAAAATTTATAATTGAGAGTCTCTTTAAGATATTGTAGAGTACATTTTAGATTGACTAATATGCAATGGAGGGCCAATATATGAATTATGATAATTTATTAATTATAAATAAAATATCTAAATATTTAATAGATAAATACTATAAGAAACTAAGTAATTGTTAGTATTATGTGGGATCCTTAGTATGATTATCAACATATAATTTGAGTGACTTAGTGGAGAAAAGTGAGGTGCCAATTTCTTTGGCATTTTACATGTTCGTCTTTGATAATAGATCTCGAATATACTTTTTGAGATAATAAAAGTATAGAAGATATAAACATTGTTTCAAAATAGCTTAAGGTTCCTATGTCCTTATTGGAGAACTGATATGTCAATTACTTAAGAAATTATTTGATCTTCATAAAATTATTGTTTGTGATAATAATATTATTCATATAAACCAGTACATATACTTTTTTTTTTTTTTTTTTTTGTTAGGATAGGAATAAAAAGTTATCGGATTTAGAGTTAATGAAACCGACTGATATAAAAAATGAGTCAAGTTCAGTATACTAAGCCCTTGGAGCTCGGTGAAATTCATAAATAGTTTTTCATAGTTTAATTTGAATATTGAGAGTAGATAAAGTTAGAGAGTTGTTACATAAAAACATTTATCTCTTACACTAAAACATTGTTAATATTTAGTTGAAGTACATGTCAGTCTTAAGTGATGGTCAAATTTGTTCACAAGCTTGTTTTGAATACAAATGGTATTCAGTTAAGGTCCCTTTCGTATCACAAGCTTGCTACTTGCTCTATATAGATAAGCCATTCTTAATCATATACTTTGTTTAGATAAAGCAGAAAGGGCCTGCTTTATTTCTTGTTCTGTAAAGATTGTCCATGGTGATATAAATTAGATGAAATACCATCAGACATCTTCATACTCAAAGTAAACTACTGACACTGAATTTTTAGGTAAAACAAGCTTCAGTGACAGACATTGGAGAAGATGAATGCCCCAAGGCTCTACTGTGATAAATGCATGAGGCAGACTTCCACATCCGAGATAATGACATCAAGAACTTGTTCCTAAGGTACTGTGAAGTTGCAGCTATAAACTTCTGCAGATATGAATGGATATTCATCCAGCTCAGGAACTCAAACTGGCAGTCAGGCCATGGCAAGCTGCCTCAGGTTCATGGGGTATACATCAGAAGCAGAAGAGGAATTGTATGCTTTCTTGGCGTAGATGACATTGGCGACCTCGGTGGGGTGGAATGCATCCCAGAACAAGTAGCTAGTGCGGTCGGCGCAGGGCGTCTGAAGAGGAAGACATGTTATCTGCCCGTTGTTCCGCCCCACGCCGCAGCAGCCCTTGTCGATCACATCGAACCCTGTTGCACCGGCACAAAGCTTAGAACTCGTCACCTCATCAGGTCATCTCATAGCTAATGTTCGGACTAGAGCAACAATCTTACCGTAGGAAGCTGCATTCGCGACCAGTTCTTTCGAGCTCTCGTACGTGTTGACGTAGACGAATTTTGCATCAGGAAGCTGAGCATTGAACCTCTTCACCATCCTCACAAGGCCTGTGTTAAAGATCGATATGGCCGTGTTGATGTCCTCGTTGCAACCACTGCTGCTGCCTTTCCTAGTGTTGCGATTACTGTATCGAGCTAGCTCATACGGTATGCAGCCAATCTGGCCGATCCCGATGATCGCCACCTTTCGCGCTCCCAGATCGTACAGTTCCTGTCATCAACGACGACATGCATGCATGTAAAAGACGTAGAGTGGGTTGCTGGATGAGTGCAGAAGCAGCAAAGCCATACGGTTAGCTGCCGGGAGTAGTCTTCGAGGAGGAGAGCAGCGTAAGTTCGGGGACTGTATTCTCTGCTGGTCGGGTACATGGTGGGCATGAAATAGTTGTTCAGGTAGTCATTGCTGCCCATACCCATGTAGTAGATGCATTTCCCCAGGTAGTCACCAGCCCTGGTGGAGTTCCCCCTGAACATTCTCGTCATCACCCTCACGGTGTCACGGAAGTGGTTTATTTGCTGTGCAAGAGGGTAGTGATCTCCCTGTCATGCAAGAGAGGTAAGATGGTTTCCTGCAGCAGTTCACAGCTCAGCTGCTTAATTACCAGGTTGTTGCCGGTTTCGTCTCTGATGCCGGCAGCCCCCGACGCGTAGTTCAAGCCTCTAAAGATGCCAGCTCTCTCTGCGACGGCGTAGGGCGGAATGAAGCCTCGGAAACCTAGCAACTGAGCTGGAACACCATGAAAGAGCCGAGAAGTCAGTCAAGCATGTCAAAGAGAGACGAGCAGACGGCGGGCATGCGTGTGTGCAGTATTACCCAAGACATCGACCAAGGTGCGGCCATTGGTGAACCTCCCGGAGGAGCCCTCGACGAAGTCGATGCCGTAAGGCCTGTAGTTGGCCCGGGCGAGCGTGAGGATGTTGTTGTTGTTGCCGTTGTCCACCAGGGAGTCCCCGAAGATGAAGAAGCAGGGCACCTGAGGGGCTACATACCAAGCTCTCGTCACCTCGGACAAGGCAAGAACGAGCAGCACGAGCTTGCCGAAGTAGTCTCCCATGATCCAAGAGCACGCCATGAACCGAGGCTGGATCCTGTACTGTCCGAGCTTCTTGGCAAGAAGCTGCATGATATATATAGGCTGCAGACCGGCGACGGCAAAAGTGATTGCTGTCGGTCGAGGCAGAGAGCTCGTGAGGATACTTGTTGCCATTGGGTGGTGGTTCATGCGCTTCCTACAGCTCCAAGATTCTGCATTTAATGGAGGTGGTGATCGAGATGACAGGTTCATCCTTAAAGTTCTTTCGATTTCGAATATCCTAACACATATAGATTCCTAACTATGCTCTTATAGCAAATCAATGACTAGAACAAACTTTATTCATAATAATAAATTTAATTTTTTGCCTGTTATATATATTGCATAACAAGTAAAATAGACTCAACTAGCAAAAAAAAAAAAAAAAACTAAAAATAAGTTATCTCCCAACACTCCACCACTAGTAGAGAAAATGTATGGATGATCCTCACCTTACTACTAAATAAATAATTTAATAATATATTTTTTGAATAGTGATAGGGATGATTTTATTGCATATCAACTTATTTGCCATCGACACCAAAGCATAATTTCAAGTCACCAATCTCAAAACAACATCATAGTGTGACCCGACCTATTCTACATTAATAATTGATAATAATTATTCATGATCAGGCAATTAATATGATCTTATCTCAAGCCAGCTAATAAGAAGGCTTAGGGATCATATATAAAAAGGAACCTATCAGCTCACATTGAAGGAGGACTCTCTGCACACTAACTTAATTATATGGTTATACTATCGTCTTCTCCTCTTCGCTGACTTAAGCATCGGAGGGATTACACTGAGTAATTCCTAGTGTCGACTTATCATGTAGGATCGTCGATCACATGAAGACACCTAGATGATCCGACCCCTAAGGAGGAACCTTGTAACCAGGAAGATTCTAATTCACCTACCCGGTCATCCTATACTAGGTCCTTACTCATCTAACGGCTTTCGACCCGATAGCCTATGTAGTCTAACCTCATTAAGTCTGTCATATCAATCAGAAAGAGACACATGGATAAGACTGCACCTTCGATAGTGGACCAATTAGATCGACGCATTAGTCAATCATGCTCATGACTCCGATGCATAATATTATAATAATATAAATCTAAAATATCATAGGACATACGAAATACATCAATCACATCATTTATGATGTATGTTAAATACTTAAATATAATCTCTCAATAATCCATGGAAAGTCATGACTCCATGAAATATATTTTAATAGCGAGATAATAAGTTCTCAATAACAAATGAAGGGATGTTCTTACCGATCAAAATGGGAACATGTCAATAACGGAGGAGTTACGTTTAATGAAGGACAACACTAACCAATATTTATTTAGCTTCCAATTGCTTAAGATAAAAATTTTGTGATGAAAGCGAAGAGAAGGATGGACTAAGATTTAGAGCACAATGTTTCGTTTCGATCTTCGACTCTTTAGTTTAACTGCTCCCTTGGTGATATTTGATCTTGTTCTTGAGCTGAGAATGAGATCAGAGTGAGGAATAGTTGACAAAGGATTGCATGTCCCAAGACATGCAGCTAAATGAGACGCATCACAATTTGCTGCCGTTCATGAACGAATAAGAAAGGTGTGTAGTTGTCGTTGACAGATGAGATAACGAGGGAGAAGAAAAACTATTTATTATTGTGAGGAAGAAACAGTCAAATTTTAAATTATAAGTTCTCTTTTTCTTTCTCTTAGATTAATCTATACTATCTCACATAAACTTTTAAAAATAGTCAATTTCGTTTTTTTTAATCTTCCCTCGAGTTAGTTCCAAGCTTGTCCACACTAAGTTTTGTTATCCTTTATTTAATTTTGTTCAATATGATTTCTAACTTAAAAATTATTTTCAAACTCGGATGAACTGATATCTATAAGATGATAATATAATCCATATATTTATTATATTTTGATGAATATATCAAAAAAATTATAATTAATCATATAAATCTTATATAAGAGTGATTGGATCAATTCATAGGATCCATAGGGTGTAATCGAACTAATTATAGGTTATTCCTGTAATCAGTTATTTTTAGCATCTCAATCGTTATATTTTTAAAAATTATAAGATCATTTTATTTACGAAAGTAAAATATTTAATTTATTATTTTAATAAAATATATCTATATATTTTTTAATTTTTAATTATATAAAATTATATTTTTAATTAGATCTTAATGTTTTACTTTCATAATTATAGATATTCCAATATAATTTTTAAGAATATAGGAATCGGATGCTAAAAATAATTAATTATAAAAATAATATATAATTAGCTCTATATAATTATTACCGTTCTAATTGTGAGGAATTAAGAAATACTCATAAAAGAAAAGTTTTTGTCCTGACTTCATATTATATATATATATATATATACATATATATATATATATACATATATATATATATACATATATATATATACATATATATATATACATATATATACATATACATATATATACATATACATATATATATGTATATATATGTATATATACATATATATATGTATATGTATATATATATGTATATATATATATATGTATATATATATATATATATATATATATATATATATATATATATATATATATATATATATATATATATATATATATATATATATATATATATATATATATATATATATATATATATATATATATATATATATATATATATATATATATATATATATATATATATATATATATATATATATATATATATATATATATATATATA